ATGCGTTGGTATGCAATGCAACATTTCCCATCTCTGGAGGCAATGCGATGCAGCCTGTCCGCATTGCTGGAGGGCGTGCGGTGCCACCTTCCCATCCCTTGGGATGCGGCGTGGGTAATGCAATACAACATGCCCTTTCTCCTATTGGGAGATGTGTAGTGTAACATTTCCATCTCTGGTGTTGGGGACAATGCAGTGCAAGATGCTTCTCCTATTGGGGGATATGTAATGCAATATGTCCTTCACAGGGTTAGCAAGATGTGCAATGCAGTGAAGACACTACTGTTGGTTATGGGGGTATATAATACAGCATGGCCGTTATGTTGGGGAATATTCCTTCACTTGGATTCTATGGGGTTTGAGTTTGAAGGCCCAGCAGAGGGGAGGGGAGGAGAGGTGAAGGTGTTCCTCTGGAGTTAAAATTAATAAATTTAATGGAAAGTTCAGGATATATGGCATATTTTTCTGCATTTGGTTATTTTAGTCTAAGCTGTCAATTGAAACAATTAAGTAATTGGCATTTGAGAGAAATAATTAGGGAATCAAGCTCTCAACCGAGACCATAAAACTGCCTCACCCTCTGCTAACTTCACTGGGAGCTTTTTGAGTTGCTGGTGTCAGGAGTAACATCCTGCTTATCATCAGTTGCTGTCACTTGTGGTCAAACTTGGCCTTCCCTTTCATATAAAGATTGCACATCTGCCTTTGACATTATTGAGGTGAGAGAGGGGACAAAGTGTGATGCTGAGCAGCAGCAATATAGGCTTAAATGCAAGACATTTTAAAATGTACTAGAGGATCTTCCCGTCAAACAACCCGTATAGCATTACCATGAGAGGAGATCTATCCAACTAAACATGATGGGAGAAGGGTAGTAGTATTGCAGGAAGAATTATGGCACAGAGAAACACCCATTTGACCCTTGCAGCCCACAAAAAACCTTCTCCCACAATGTTTCACCCACCATCCCCCCCCAACCCCACAACCAGCTCTCTCTCTATCACCGTATCCTTCTCTTGCTTTCTCCCCTGCACGTTTATCCAAGTCATCTGCTCAAGGGCAATTGGGAAACATCAATGAATGCTGGTTTCGCCAGAGTCGACCACATCCCAAGAACGAATAAACAGCAGCTTCCCCTTAAAGGCATGTCTGCTATTCGTTTCACCCACTCCCTATAGGAATGAGTTCCATGTTCTTGTCATTCTTCAGGTTAAGCAGTTTCTCCTGAATTCCTGAGTGGATATTTTCGGTGGCTGTTTTGTAACGTTGCTTCCCTCGCCATCCCCAAAAATGGAAACACCTTACTCTAGCTCTACCTTCTGAAAACTTCTTTATTTTAAAGACCACAGTCAGGCCACCACCTTCAGCAACTGGTGGTGTGGGAGGGAGTGGCTAACCTGTTTTTTGAATGATGTTCACTGGATAATGATCTGGGGTGGGAATCTCAGCTGCCTGTTTCTTCCTTCCACTGTCCGTCTGGAGTTTTGGCGGAGGGTGATGGTTAGGTTCGAAGGAGTAGAGCATTCTCATGGGCACATCATTAGGATTGGCGCATGTGGCCAAATAGCTGCTGGCATTCCTTTCTATTCTGAATGAGGAAGAGAAGGTGAATGAGATGCGGAAGGGTGCTAATGCCACTGGAGCCCCGTTCAGGTTGTGCAGATGTCCACAGGAGCGGACTTGGGCCGGTGGTAGGGCTGGGCAGCTGTACCTCAATGGAAATCTTTGAACCCCAGTTGTGATCTGTGGCTCTATAGCCCACTCACTCCAGTAAAATATTAACTGACAATCTGGTTTTCCTTCTTGAGAAGTGGTTCTCAGAAGCCAATGGGATGGGGCGATTCGGAAGCCAACCTTCTCAGTTGCAGTTTCCTCCTTGAGCTCCAAGCTCCAATGAGCCGCAGAGATGTGACACATGGGAAGCTCACTGGGCCATTTCACATCAGTCCCAAATCCCACTGCACGGAGCTCAGGGGGCCTTGCTGTGATTGGTTTAATGATGCTTAGTCTTTTGAGGGAGTCCAAAACCACAGGGTCGTGGACCAGCACGGTGGCTCAGTGGTTAGCACTGCTGCCTCACAGGGACAGGGACCCGTGTTCGATTCCACCCTTGGGCGCCCATCTGTATAGAGTTTGCACATTCTCCCTGCGTCTGCGTGGGTTTCCTCCGGATGCTGCGGTTTCCTTCCACAGTTCCAAAATGTGCAAGCTGGGTGGATTGGCCGTGCTAAATTGCCCATAGTGTCCAGGGATTTGCAGACAAAGTGGGTTAGCAGTGGGAAATGTAGGGTTGCAGGGACAGAGTAGGGGGTGCGTCTGAGTGGGATGCTGTTTGGAGGGTCTGTATCAACTTGATGGGCCACTTCATCTGCTTTCACACTGTAGGAATTCTATGATTCTACGAGACCGGTGGTTAATCAAATCAAAGAATTTAGGAAAAACATCTTTACGCAGAGAGCAAGGAGAGGATGGAGCTCCCTCTCCCAGGGAGTGGTTGAGGCAAATAGCAGACATGCACTGAAGGTAGAAGCAGAGTAGACATATGAGGTGGAGAGGAATAGAAGGATGTGGGAAGATGGGAGAGGACCTGCATGGAGCATAACCAAATCTTTTGGAACAAATGCTTTGTGTATGGGTATTACCAGGAGTGTACAAGTTTGCTGATAACGAGGATGAAGGGGTTAGCTGGGCCTGTATCCATTAGGATTTAGAAAATTGAGAATTAAGCTTATTTTGACAGTCAAGACCTTCAGAGGTCTTGACTAGCTTTGGAAGAGACTTGTGAGGATTATCCCCCTTCTGGGAGAACCTAGAATTATGAGTCAGAATTCTTAAAAAGAAAAACCTCCTTTTAAGATGAAGAAGAAATGTTTTCTGTTTGAGGGTCATAAGTCTATGGAACTTTCTTCCCCAGACAGCAGGTCATTGAATGTGAATAAGAAGCAGGAGTAGGCTGTTCAGCTACTCAAAACATTTTAATATGACTATTTAATTTACAATTTAGTAAGATCATGGCTGATATGATTGATTACATTCCTGCCTATCCAGGATAACTTTCTCTTTGTTAAACAGAAATCTATCCACCTCTTTCTTGAAATCATTCCACCTACTTTTGAGGAAGAGTTCCAAAGACACTTGACTCCGAGAGGAAAAAGATTTGCTTCATCGCTGTCTTAAATGGGTTACCCTTATTTTAAACAGTGACCTAGATTTCCCCATAGAAAGAAACATCCTGTTCACATCAAGACCCCTCAGAATCTTTATAAGTTTCAAAAAAATCTCTCATTCTACTTAACTCCAGTGGATGCAGACCTGGCCTGTTTACCCTTTCCTTATAAGACAGTCTGCCCATTCCAGGTATTAGTCCAGTAAAGTTCTCTGAACTGCTTAAAACGCGTCTACCTTCCTTTAAATAAGGTGACCAGGACTGTACAGATGTAGTTGCACAGTATCCTGTTTAACTGAAGCATAACCTCCCTACTTTTGTATTCCACCCCCCTTGCAATGTATTGTAATATTCTATTAGCTTTGCTGTACCTGCATGATAATCTTTCTTTGATTCATGCAATAGCTCACTCGGAACCTTCTGCATCTCCAAACTCTACAATCTCTCAACATTTAGACTGTAGGCTTCCTTTTACTTTTAAGGCACTGTAAGAGAAGTTTTCCTATTCAGCCTGTTCAGAGAGGATATTTTCTGTCAAACTGGAAAGCAACAGATAAATGAGTGAAGGGAGAGAGAGGAAGATTCAGAAAGGTACAGAAAAAAGGACAACAGTGAATAAAAAGAGAGAGGAACTAAAAGACATAGAAGCTATGAGGATACAAAAGTTATGGCCCACCTTCAGAGCAAGTAGGACCTGGATCTGGGCCTCCTGATTCGGATACAGGGGTGCTACTACTACTCTACCGCAATAGCCCCTAAGGCACAGTTAGGTCCTTGGCTAACGAAGGGGGCCCAGAGTGTTGAGGGATAGGCAGGGGAAGTGGGGTTTTTGGTCACAGACACATCAGCCATGAGCTTATTCAGTGGCGGAACAGGCCAGAGGGGCTGAATGGCCTGCTGCTGTTTGTATGAAACCAGCAGAAGTGGTGAAGAAGCCTATGGAGGTGGGTATTGAAGATCCTATGTACCAACTGAAGATGTGTTGTTTGGTGGGGGGGGATAAAGTCCCTGATTTCATCAGCAACCACCATTTTAATCCTCCGCCAAACACGTTGAGGGATCGGGGTGGGGGGAGGGTGACATAACGGCAGCAGCTAAGTAGGTTTTTGTTGTTCTGACATAGTCACTGGACTTAACATTAAATGTGTATTTCTCTCTATAGGTGCTGATAGGGTTGCTGAGTTTCCCCTAGTGCCTTTAAGTTTTTTGTGTCTTGGCCTACTATCCCCTTCTGTTGTTCAGTGTTGAGTTTTGACCTAATAATGCTCCTGTATTCGTACAAATGTTTCGAGGATTGGGCCAGAACTAGATCTGGCAGGGGTTTACAACATGAGCTGAACTGCGAGCCATTTTGCTCTGTGATAGAGGCTGGTTGTAAGCAGTGCTTCCTTCCTCTTTCAGACTTCTTGCTTCTGGTAGACTCGTGATTATGCATGGCGCTGTCAGTGTGTATGTGCAAAAGCAGATGGATCCTGGACGAAGAGGAAGTGGTCACACCGGTGATGTGTGACTCAGGAGCTGAGCTTTGAGAGCAGTGTGCAGTTTGATCATCAAAAGAGGAAACAAACTTTTAATTGGGTGGCCAGAAACAGTGTGCCTGTAAAGCAAGGCAGAGGACAGATTTTAGCTTTCTTTAAATAAAGAGCCTGTAGTTACATAACCATATTGCCATTCAGCTCATCAGATCTGTACCAGCTTTAGAATGCCCCAATTAGGTACTTGCTTAAAAAGAAATGGTGATCACGATTGGCCCTGGATACCTCATCTTGGCTAGTGTTCCAAGGGAAGTACAACATTGGTGGAGGTTCTCCCCCATTCTGCCCTCCCCTCTCTCTCTCCACCCATTTCTCTCTTTCCCCCCTCTCCCTGATTGAGTTCGAAACTCTTGTGGCTATGACTCATTTGACCGCAGGAGTCATGAATCCAAGGTTCTTTTCCAGGATCTTGGCCAGCATTCCTCCCCCTTACTGATTCAAGCTGTCTGATTTGATCAGAGCGGTGATGACCCTGCCAACAGTCAAGGGGTAGGGACCACAGGAAGTGAGAATGGAGCTGCTGGGGAGAAGCAGAAGTGAAATGCTGCTTTCGAACATACGTATTGAGTTAGGAGTAGAAATTGGTCATTTGGACTTCAAGCCAGCTTCAGTAAAAGTGTGTTTCAGTTTTGAATTCCACATTCCTGTCTATCCTGTAACCTTAGGTTCTTGAATAAAGACAGAACGATACAGGCACTGGAAACCTGAAACATATGCAGAGAAACACAGCAGTTCTGGCAGGCATCTGCGGAAAGAGAATCAGAGTTTACCTTACTAGTTTGATATGACTGTCCTATAGGACTTTTCAGTTCTGAAGAAGAGTCGGACCAGAGTTGAAATATTAACTCCATTGGTGAAGACCAGAATCATAGAATCCTTACAGCATAGAAGCAGGCCATTAGGTCCAGCGAGTCCACACCGATCCTCCGAACGGTATCTCGCCCAGACTCATCCCATCCCTGTAATCCTGCATTTCTCATGGCTAATCCACCTAGCCTGCACATCCCTGGTGCAACGGGCAATTTAGCACGGCCAATCCATCCTAACCTCCACGTCATTAGACTGTGGGAGGAAATGAGCGCCCGGAGGAAACCCACACAGACAAGGGGAGAAAGTGCAAGCCCCACGTAGACAGTCACCTGGCACTATGAGGCAACAGTGCTAACCAGAGCTGCTGTGCCGTGTATTGAAGTGGGAAGCTGGATAAACAGCTGAGGGAGAAAGGAATAGAAGGAGAGAGGTGTAGGGGGCAGCAAGAGGAGGCCTTGTGAAGCAGAAACACCAGTGCCTTTGGGCTTTGACGCTTCTTTCTATGCAGTAGATTCTATGATCTATGTATAATGTTTTCAAAATGTACAAAAAGTTAGTGAAGGCTGTGCAGCAATCAGATAACATATATTTTTCGGAACAGTGTCCACCTCTCAAGGAAGTATTTCAGTGATTTTTGTGGGGTTTTTTTGCTGTGACCCATTAACAGCCAAGGGAGCATTGGAGAAGAGGTGATGATCGTGGGCAAGGACTGTTGGGCAGCACGGTGCTGTGGGATCTTTGCATGCCTGTCCGAACCACAGCCCATCAAATACATCCCTACGCAAGTCTTTGCATAATACCTGTTTATCCCTTTCGTCGTGTATACCCTGCAGCACCAATCCTCAGTGCACCCTCCTGCAACCGTACGGTGGATGAAACCTCAAAGAGGGGGCGACCACCTACCAGCAATTGAGTACCACGGTTTGCTGATAAACCCAATAGCTGTAAGAGATGAGATTTCTGTGTACCAGTTTTGTGCCAGTCTGAGCATGGTACACTCCGTCCTGTCAGGGCCAGTGTCAATTCTCCGGGAAGACTAGCAGCATTGTTAGCCGAGTGAGCCAAGAACTGGATTATTTTTCTTTTATATCATTTGGTTGCCAGACACCAATACTGACTGGACTGGACTGTCAGCCTGAGTCAGGAGCATGCGATACTGAGCAATGGCTTCCTGTTTTGCCGCCTCGCTCCCTCTTGCTGTTACATGTTGCATTGTCATGGTTAGGCGAACACTAGATTCTGACAGGGTGTGGCGAAGCCACCGCAAGTGGGTGGGTGCTTCCTTCCTGAACATACAGCCATTCATAGGGGCAGCTTGCCTATATTTGCTGAATTCTGGGTTTCTAAAATATTGCAACCTTCACCAATGTTCTGCCTGACTGTCAGGTCTTTACCCTGTTATGGGGCGATGAGGTATCGATAATGTAATTCTAGTAATCCAGAGGCCTGGACTAGTGCTCTGGGGACCCGGGTTCAAACCCCGATCACAACGTCTAGGGGTATTTTAAAATTCAAAGAATAAATCTGGAATACAAAGCTAGCCTCCTAAATAATAACCTTGAAAATACTGTCGACTGTTGCTGAAAATCCACTTGATTCACCTCTGTTACTTCCTGCTGTCCTTACTTGCTCTGGTCCTCCATGTTCCAAGTAGACAGAATGGTTAAGAAGGTGTTTAGTACACTTAGAATGTTGTGTTGTAGTTGTGTAGGACGTTGGTGAGGCCACTTTTGGAATACTGTGTGCAGTTCTGGTCACTCTGTTTATACAAAGGATATTATTAAGCTGAAGAGGGTTCGAAAGCGATTTACCAGGATGTTGCCAGGAATGGAGGGTTTGCGTTGTGAAGGAGAGCCTGAATAGGCTGGGACGTTTTTCTTTGGAGTGTAGGAGGTTGAGGCGTGATCTAATAGAGGTTTATAAAATCATGAGGGGTATAGATGAGGTAAATAGCACAAGGTCTTTTCCTTAGGGTGGGGGAGTCGAAATCAAGGGAGCATATTTTTAAGGTGAGAGGAGAAAGTTTTAAAAGGCACTCAAGGGGCATACAGTCTGTGGGTGGAATTGAACCCAGGTCCCCGGCACTGAGACAGCAGTACTAACCACTGTGCCACCGTGCTATCCCCTACCATGATTGGATATCAGTGTGCCCATGTGAGTGTGTATGCGTGCGCGTAAAAGCTGGGAGCAGAGCAAGTTCTTGATACCTTTTATCAGACTTGGGTTCTGGATCAAACTGGCCGACCAACTTTCTTCCACTTGGTCTCCTGATGCCTTTAACCCTCAGCAAAGCCTGCCATGTTTCCCTCCCCAGCCCCAGTAACTCACGTCACTGTCCCTTTCTCTCTCTTTCTCTTGCCTAGGCTGAGACGGAGGTGGCCTCCTTGAACAGGCGCATCCAGCTGGTTGAGGAAGAGTTGGACCGTGCCCAGGAACGCCTTGCGACAGCCCTGCAGAAACTGGAAGAGGCCGAGAAGGCAGCAGATGAGAGTGAGAGGTGAGACTGAAGGAGAGGCAAGGGCCGGGGGCACTTCTGACCCCTTTAGGGGAAGGAAGGGATGTGGGACTTGCTACCACCGCGAGCGGGCAAGGCAAATAGCAGAGATGGGGGTCCTCTTGATAGACACACCAGGAGAAATCTCTTGCTTCTTCATAAAAAGTAAATCTCTCAAGCTGTACACGTCCCAGGTAATCTCCCTGGTTTGCAAAGAGCTGCTTGATATCAGTAGGGCCTGGTGGATGTGATACAGGGAGATCTGATGTAAGCAAAATGTTTTTAAGGACAACTTAATGCGGTAGATTTTCAGTTGAGCTGTGTCCTTTGTGTCGCTAATGTGTTCATGCCATATTCATCCACTGTTATCAGTTTGTACCACTCTCACAGCAGAGATAACAAGCGAAGCATTGTCCTGACTTATTTATGTGGCAGTGACATCGATCACCCTGATGCTAGCAGCCTGCTAGCCACGAAAGTCACTACAGAGCTGAGATTTTGACTTGTGACACACCTCCTCCATATGCCCTTTTCTGTGGTCCTGGCCGTAGCGACAGACCTGCACCGGTCAGTGTTTTGCCCCACAGTCTGTGCAGCTCTCAATGCTGCCCCTCTAGACTCAAGCCAGTGAGCGATCTTGCATTGGTCTTCTCTGGTGCGAGGTGAGATTTGTCCTCTGGTGTCGGAATTGGACTGTCAGAATATGTTGCTGCAGTTTGCTTTTCTTGTCTCTCTCTCCCGGGATGTGGGTGTTGCTGGCAAAGCTAACAGTTGGTACCCACTCCCATTTGCCCATTGAATTGAATGGTTTTCGAAGGCCGTTTCAGAGGGCAGCTAGGAGTAGCTGTAGCCCTAATGTCACACTTAAACCAGTCTAAGGACAGCAGAATCCCCTTCCCTAAAGGGGCGCCTGTTGGAGAAAGAGGAAGGGAATTCTTGTGTCTGGACCTGTGGCTAAATACAGAAATGAAAACGAAATTCTAGTCTTTTGTGACTTCATTGTGGTGCATCTCACAGCCGGTTTGGTACTTTTTTGAAACACTACTTTTTATAACCCACAAACTGTAGATTTACGACCTTATTCTAATATGCGGCAGAAAAAGTAGGAAATAGATATGGAAATAGGCCATTTGGCCCCTCAAGCTTGCTTCACCGTTCAATAAGATTAAGGAATCCGAGAGCTGTACAACGTGGAAACAAACCCTTCAGTCCAATTTGTCCAAGCCGACCAGATATCCTAAATTAATCCAGTCCCATTTGCCAGCATTTGGCCAATATCCCTCTAAACTCTTCCTATTCATGTATCCATACAGATGCCTTTTAAATGTTGTAATTGTACGAACCCTCACCACTACTTCTGGCAGCTCATTCCATACACGCACCACCATTTTGGGTGTGGGTTCTGGGGTGAAGTTGATGATCAAACGCATTTCCACTGACTC